CTGGAGCCTCGTGCAGAGGGGGCCGCTGTGCCCCCCGAGCCGCGGGGCAGGGGAAAGCAGGACAAACAGCACCGCTGGGAATAATAATGGCAATTGTCAGGGCTGCAGTTTGCTTTGGCAAAGCCGGGCGGATGGAAAGGGCTGACTGCTGGGCTCGCTCCCACCCGTCCTCTTCCTCCGCCGCCTTCGTCCCCAGCCTGCAGGCACGAGATAAGAGCCCCTTCCCGCCTGCCCCGCGGCGCGATCCCCGCGGCGCGGTCCCGTGGGACCAAGGGGACAGGAGCGGCACCGCCACCAAGTCGGGTCGGTGCCCGCAGACCCGGGATGGGGCCTTTGTGCCAGGAGAACAGAAGTGCCAAGAGACATGACCTCCTGTAGCCCACCTGGCTGAGGGTTTCGGTGCACATCAGCGGGCCGGCGGTCACCAGCCCCCACCGGGACGCACAGCGCTCGGGGACAGGGGTGCCACCGACACACAGTGCTCAGCTCTGGTGGTACCAGCTGCAGGGACGGGGATAGGCAGCAGAACCAGAACACCAGAAAGGAGCGAGAGCTGTCCCTGGTGTGCCCAGTGTCGTGCCTGATGAAGGAAGGTTTCCTGGGTCCATCGGCCACTCTGCGTGGGCCGTGAGCTCGCCAGGGCCCCACCAAACCTGGTTCAAATTCTGCTGGAATTTGGGAACAGGTTCCAACGCTGGGGTGGAGGGACGGGCACACCGAATAGAAAACACATTTTTTTCCATAGGAAATTGCAGCTAAAATTAACATATTTGAAAAAGAAATCTAATTTTGCAAAGTTGCTCAGTCTGCCAGGCAGCCATGCGCTCGGGGCAGGGCAGGGGCTGCCCAGGAGCCCAGGGCTTGGCCAGCAGCTCTGTCCCAGCTGCGCTCAGCCCTGTGACCCCAAATCCTCACGTCACACACGCTGTCTTGCAAAGACATGTTCAGCTCCCAGCCTTTCCATCAGACTCCCTTTCATCTCAGATCTTTTCATGTGCCAGGCGGGAAGCAGCTGGCAGGTTCTTATTTATCTCAGACAAATTAAGGTCAGACCACCCGTTTGGTTTTTTTGCAAGATGGGAATGTTTGCAAAGGGGGGCCGTGTTGCAGCGCAGCTGAAGCATCCTCCAGGCTATTCCTGCGTCAGTAGCTCTGCTCTTGACTCTGCTGCAAACCCTGCAAGCACCTGGAAGAGCAGCCCTGTGCCATGCCTGGTGCAACCCGGGCGGATGTGGGGCTGCCGCGGGTGCCGCAGCCACAGGATCGGAAGGATGGTCCATGGCGCGGGGTCCGGGCCAGCAGGGTGCGGCCGACGTGGGGAGTCAGGAGATTTGCCAGGGCTCTCCCTGGTGCGGGGCTCGATGGCACGTCGTGGCTGAGCACTCCTCCAGGGCGCATTTGGCAGCACAGCGGGCTTGGCCGAGCTGCCTCCTCCCGCGGTTCACCGCGGTGTCAGCGCCGCGGGGTCCCGGAGGTGGGGTGGGAGCGGCATGTTCCAGCCAAAAGGGTGGGAGGGGGACGGAGCGTGTCCTGGCCCGTGACAGCAACCCCTTCACATCCTTTCAGAACCTCCTTCCCACGGCAGCTCCATGCTTCTCCCCACCCTGGCCAGGAATCCTGCGCCGGCCCTGCTGGGACGGCTCCAGGTGTGGGGAAAGCCGCTGCCAGCCTCCGTGCTGGAGCACGGCCCCCTCCGTGACGGCAGAGCTGGTGAACACACTCCATCACTGCTGAAAAATGCCAGATTTTGGGGACAACATCCGCTTTGCGAACCGCAGCCAAAGCAACCTGGGGGTGAATCATGACCGGGCTGGATCCAAGCTTGTCGGTGGGAGACGGCTCCGCGGCCGCAGGCTTTGAAAATGATGAAAGGCTCACGCACTTGTTTTTCTGACTCAGGGATGTTTCCTCGGGCCCTCGAGCTGCTCACAGCACACGCAGTGCAGCCAGACTGTCATCTGCAACCACTTCTGGCGGCACCACGAGCAAGAGCAGCAGGCCAGGGCCGCAGCTGCGCGCCATGTGGCGCTTGGAGATCCTCCTCCCTGCACCTGAGCCGGGCTGCTGGCCCTGAGGACGGGCTGCGGGCGGGCGGCCGGGCTGGCTGGAGGGGCTGGCGCAGCCCCCGGGCTCTCTGCGTGGCAGCAGGCTCCTCGGTGCAGCCCGGGCTGAAGCTCCGTGAGCCCCGTTGCGGAGGGGCTGTGCTGGGAGGAGATGGTTGACTACAGGCTATGGAAACGGGCACGAACCAGGAGTGGCTCTGCCAGAGGTGCCCACCTGCCCTCGCTCAGTGGAGTCCATGCCTGACCTGCCCCGTGGCTGGAGCTCGGGCAAATAGTGATGTCCGGGTGCTGCCACACCTCCTGTTTGCCGACGGGAGAAGCAGCATGAGCACCGGATGAGGGTGGAATGGCTGGGGAGTGGACCGTCAGGTTTATTTTGCAAGAACACTCGTACAAAACTACACCCTGAAGGCAAGCCAGCAGCCAAGGGCAATATCTGCAGGGGAAAACTGAGAATCACCATGGGACTGGCTTGGCCCCGCTCACAGCCAGAGGAAAAGTCTACAGAGAGCAAACATCATGGCTCAGAGCCAAGGCGCAGCCAGCAAGAAGTACAAGTGCTCTAAGCAGCAAACACCAAGTGAGCAGGAGATCCCAGCCTCAGCCCGACATCCTGTTATTCCTTCTTCGAGAGCAGATCCAAGGGCTAGATTAGGGCTGTGGTCTTCCCGGAGCAGCACTGGCAGCGCTGGGGAGGAGCAGGAGCCCCGGCCACTCTGCACAGCACCTCGGGGCACAGTGCAATTCCCCTAATTCCTCAATCAGATATCTCCCCCCCTAATTAGGGCTTGGAAGAGAGCCGTCCTTTCAGGTATGTCCTGGGTACCATTTTTTTTCCCCCCACGTAGTGAAATTTGCTTTGATCCTGGTGTGCAGCAGTCAGCTCCTGACACTGGTCATGGCTGCACCATCCCAGCGTGCGTCTGGCCCAGTTGCTTTGGGCACATGGGTCCCCAGTGGGTCCCCGGGCCCTGTCCTGTGCCCAGCAGGACACACAAATGCTGCTGCCGGCTGTCCTCAAGTCCCAGGAGAAGCTTCCTAGGAAGGTGAGACCCATGCCG